GGGGGGGGGGGATCCCGGCCCCGGGGGGGCTCACCTGCGCCCCTCGCGCACGGGCCGGCGCTTGTCCACGATGACGGGTTTGGACGGCGGCTGGAACGTGCCGGGCCCCGTGCTCTGCGGCCGCCCAGGGCCTGCCCGGGTCCCTGCGGGGTCAAAGAGAACAGGTCAGGGCACTCGGGCGCCGCGCCATCTCCGCCAACCCGGGGCCACACAGGGGCCTCCGCGGCGCCTGCGACTGGCCTCCTGCCCCTGGGACGCGGGCGGGAGCCGACCCCCCTCAGCCTGGCCCGTGTCCCACGTCCCGGATCGGCGCCCCTCGGCTTACTGCAGGCTGCAGAGCCTGGTCCCGGGAGCAGGACCCTGGCGGCTCTGAAGCTCCAGGCCAGGCCCACCGCTGCCCTACAGCCCCCACCAAGGCAGGCCGCCATGTCCGCGCCTCCGGTCCGGACTACAACTCCCAGGAGGCAGTGCGCGAACGTCGCCGACGTCTGAGGCAGGACGGGAGCTGCCACGGGACAAAAGAGTCCACACCACCCCTGCCACCATCTCTTCCCCCTACCCAACCTTCCACCCCCACCCTTCACACACACACACACACACACACACACACACACACACACACTCTCACACTCACTCTCTCACTCACTCACTCACTCACTCACTCTTCCCGCCTTTCTTCTCCCTTTTCATTCTGCCAAGATCAGAGTCTCTGAGGATTTATGCATGCATCTACTCACTGCCAAGTCAAGCAGTTGGAGCGCAGTTCAAACCCACCGGCCACTCCAAGGTAGAAAGATGAGGCTGGGTGCACCTGTAAGAGTCACAGGCTCAGCGTCACTCAGAGTCGGAATCTTCTCCACGAAAGGGGGTTGGTGGTTTGGTTGGTTGGTAGCTCTCATCGCCTGTGCAGTGTTTCCTTTATTGTATATAATTACTGGATTAGGGTCTAACTCCACCATTACACTATAAACGCCTCGAGGGTGGGTACGAGGCCCCGTTTTGCACCAAAAATTTACTTGTTCTCGATAACTTCGTTGAGTGGGGAAAACAGAATAGTTCCCGACACAACATCTAGCACAAAATGCCTGAGACCACAGAGAGCACGGCCCATTTGCGGAACGACAGTTATCTAGTGGTGCTATAAGAGAAATGCATACCATAAGTTGATGACTTGTGCTCACAAAAATTTATTTTCTCATGGTTTCTCACTCAAGAAACTCAGTGACGCTAGAGATCAGAGTAGAACTTCCCCTGGGGATTTCCAAGACTGTAACTCTTTACAGGAGTAGAAAGCCTGCTTTCCTCTCCTGAGGAGTGGCTAGTGGTTTCAAACTGCCGACCTTCCTATTAGCAGCCGACAAGTAACTGCGACAACATCAGGGCTCCTCATCTCATGGTTTAAAGGAGCAGAAGTACTAACTCAGAGCCTGTAGGTAGGCGAAGGCTGCTCTCTGGTGGCTCTGGAGGAAGGGTTCTGTTTCTTCTGATTCTACTCCCTGGTTCCTTGGTGATCTCCTTGTATCTTGGCATCATGTCACCCCTTCTCTCTTCTCTGGAGGCTTCTTTAATGGTTTTCATTCATCCAAAAGAGACTTATTCAAGACACACACAATACTAATCCTGCCTCATTAAGATAGCCAAGACATCCTTTCCCAGATAGAATTATAACCACAGGTATCCAGGTCAGGATTTACAACACACATTGGAGGACACAATTCAATTCACAACACCTGGTGTTGCCCCAGTGTGATGCCTTCTATAGTTTCCAGTAGACCATGGGATAATCATCGAGTTCCGAACCATGTGACCTACCTCTGCTGCATACCCTTCATACTTGAGACATCTGTTTTACACCGTTACCGCAGACCAAGGTTGGTTGGTTATTTTTTGGCATATATTTATTTTTTAAATTTTTGGTAAAATATATAAAACAGAATGTCTGCTGTTTCGACTGTTCGTGTGTGTAGATGTTCCGTGTCATTAACACAGTCACCCTGTTGTGCAACCATTACCACTACCTGGTTCCCACTTGTTTATTACCCTTAATAGGACCTCAGCACCCCCCAGACAACATAGACACCTTTCACTCTCCTTTTCACCCGTGCTAAACATGGACTCAGCTTGGTTGCTATGGATTGATTTCTTCTAGACATTCCATCTAAATAGAACGGGTTTGGGCACACACCTAGGAGTGAAATTGCTATCTCAGATGGTAGTTCCATATTTCATTATTTGAGGGATGACCAACTTGGTTTCCACATTGGCTGCACCATGTTAAAAACTTAGCTGCAAAGAACCAGGGTTTCAATTTCGTCACATCCTTATCCAAAACTTGTTATATTCCATTTTTCTTATAATAGCCATCCTGATCAGAGTGAGGTGGTACTTTATTATGTTTTTAATTAGCTTGTCCTTTGGCACTGGGCTTCTCACTAGAAGGCTGGTGGTTAAAGCCCACTGGCAACTCAGTGGGAAGAAGATGAAGCTGTCTACTCCCGTGGAGGTTTCCCATCTCGAAAGCCCTGTGTGTGTATGGTGGCGGTGGATCAGAATTGATTCCATGGCCGTGGGGGTGGTTTGTTGCATTTTGTTCTTAATGACAATCATGCTGAGCATGTTTTAGTGTGCTTTTTGTTGATCTCATTTGGTGAAATATTTACACAAGTCCTTTGGCTTTTTTTTGCTGTTGTTGTTTTGGATTGATTGTTTTTGCTATGGAGTTTTAGTAATTTATTTATACAAGGAGGATTCCAAAAGTTTGTGGGAAAATTATCTTTTAATTTTATTTTCCCACAAACTTCCTAAAGGCCCCTTGTATGTTCTCGATATGAAAGCATTAGATTTATAGTTCCCAAATATTTCCCCTGTTCTACTGGTTGCATCATCACGTTGTCGATTAAATCCTTTGATACCTGCGTGTTTTTCCTTTTGATGGAGGAGGACCCTGTTTTTTTAGGACACAGTCCAAGGCACAGTGAAGAGAGTTAGGACCTCCTATCAGGAGAGTCCAGTCCTTGGAAAGGGACAGCATGCTTGGTAAGTTGGAGGGCCAGTGAAGAAGAGAACGACCCTCAATGACAAGGGTGGATATTGGGGCCCCAGCAACGGGCTCAAACATTTCACTGGTTGTGAGCCTGGGGCAGGACCAGACTCATTCTGTTGAACATGGGGTCACTATGTGTCGGAGGTACCTCACAACAACAACACTGTAACTCTAGTCTCTTGTATTAAAGCCAGCACTGATCCCAAAATAGGAAGTAGTCACATAACCAAGAGTTCAAAGTGGCACCATTTTAGACTTTTTTCTATCCGCTCAAAAAGTAAATTTCCAACTCTTATTGAAAAAGACAAGGTTGCAAAGACAGAGATGTTGTGAGTGGCAGTTGAGGAGATTCTTCTGCTCTAGCCGTGTGCAGGGTCCCATGATATCATCATACTGGTGAGGGTTGGTCCTGTGGGATAAAACCTGACACTTCTTGTCCTCAAGTCAATCCAAGCTCATGAAACTCCATGGGACATATCTGTCCCATGGGTTTCCAAGGCTGGTAACACGCAGACTGCCACCTCTTTCTTCTTGCAGAGCAGCTGGTGAGTTTGAACCACCAACTTAATGGACATTGCTAAATCATTCCTGCTCCCACTCTTTCTAAGGAAGGAGGAATGGCTTTGTGCAGTTTTCCAAAACTGCAAGAATGAGAATAAGGAATTTTCTCTCATTTTTCTTCATTTTCCTGCTTACCCAACATTCTTCAGGCTGCTCGGACTTGATTTTATTCATTTATTTATTTGAACTTTTTTTTTGGTGATTACATAACTCACTTTATTTTACTTTTTTTTTTTTTAAAAAAAGATCATTTTATTGGGGGCTCTTACAGCTCTTATAACAATCCATACATCAAAACAAACAAACACAACCCATACATCAATTGTATCAGGCAGATTTGTACATATGTTGTCATCATCATTTTCTAAATATTTACTTTTTATTTGAGCCCTTGGTATCATCATCTCCTCTTTTTTCCCTCCCCCCTGCCCTCCCACCTTTGTGACCCCTTGATAAATTATAAATTATTATTATTTTCATATCTGACACTGGCTGCTGTTTCCCTTCACCCACGTTTCTGTTGTTTGTCCCCCCGGAGGGGTGGGGCTGTTAAGTATTGATCATTGCCTGGTATCGCTACTCCCATTTCTGTTCTTGAGGGGTTTGTCTGACCTGGATTCCATTTGTCATGAGCTCTTATCTGTACCAGTGGACATGCTTTGGTCTAGCCGGAACTGAAAGGCAGGACTGGGGTGATGATGGAGGGCAACGGGGTGAGGAAGCCTCAAAGAACCGGAGAAATATTGTGTGTTTCATCAGAGCTATACTACACCTTGGTTGACTCATCCCTTCCTTGTAACCCTTCTGTGAGAGGATGTCCTATTTGCTACAAATGGGTTTGGGGTCTCTGCTCAAACCCCCCTTGTTCTCAACAATATGGTTTCTTGTTTGTTTGATGTGGGTCTTCTGATGCTTGTTACTTGATCCCATAGACAATTCATGATCGCACAGATTGGTATTTTTCTTCCATGTGGGTTTGTTGCTTCTCTGCTAGATTATTTAACTTCAAGTCTGACTTGATTTTAGAATGAAGGGCAGTCTGGAGTTTTAATTATTCCACCAAACAACTTTGCAGATCAAAATACAAAACATGAGCACAGTCAGCACTGCCTCGACTATTTTGGGAGCTGTTTATGGAAATTCAACAGTAATTATGTTACTTCTGTATTAGAAGGAAAGTATGAACAGCATTACACGGTGTTCGGTAATGGGAAGAAAATGTTCCAGGCAAACGTCCTACTGCGGGTTATGGTGACATCAGGATTCGTGTCTCTTTACTCCTGATTGCACCCTCCGTGCCTTGTGCAATATTCATCCCTCAATAAATATTCCCAAGTAATATCAGAGAAATCATCTGAGCTACCTTTTAAAAAATAGGTGGGAGACCGAAATCTATAGGAATGCCAAAGAGAAAGATGAAATAAGGTTCCCAAAGTCCACTCCCTAGACCAGCGTCACCTGGTGCCATGCTAGAGATACAGATTCACAGATCCCATCCCACACGTACTGAATTGGAACCTGGGGATGGATCCCAAGATGTTCTTTAACAAACTCTGCAAGTGAACCTGGTAAGTGTTTGAGTCTGAGAACCATTAAGGTGGAGGCAATGGAAATAGAAAAAGGTGGTTCCACCTGTTTCTGAAGTAGTCTTGGGCAGACAGGATTAAGACATATATTACCTGTGCCACTTTGAGAGAGTCTAACTTTTCTTTGCTGTTGTTTCCTTATTGGTAATAAGCGAATACTAATCTACAGATTACACTGAGATAATGTGTAAGGAAAGCTCCTTTGTGGGTGAAAGTCGTAATACATATAATTAGTACT